TTTTTTTTTTTTTTTTTATTGCATTACAATGTACATATCTCTTTTGTCTCTCTCATTCTATTCAATTTAGGACAGCTATGGAAAGATTTTTCTATGCGGTTGAGCATAAGTAAACAATTTTGACAGTGTCATACTACACTAGGTTTGAAGCCTTCAAGCCTACTCTGTGGACCAGCAACCATGGCTGATGGCTGTCACAATCCTAACTATTTATTTTGGTTATTTTTTTTCCTTATATTGTTTATCATAGAACCAATGATAGAGATTATGAATATATTTTTGGGTAAGTTATAGATTACTGAGTTGAACACTAATTTTTTTGGTTGGCCACCTTTTTGTATAGCTGTATATATGGATTGCACACAGTACAAAAATTCGACTCAAAATGGACACGAAATTAGTGGGTTATGATTGACAATTCTTGGCACGAACCCGTATAAAACAAGACCTGTTAATACGAATAATAGATGGGTTAGATTAATATTAAACATGAATAATACGAAATTGACACGATTAACATTTTTAAGTAGTATTATAAGAATAAAATGTTAATTTTTTTATTATATTTTATTAAGTAGCGACATAATTCTTGTACCAAAAAAAAAAAAGATAACTCTTATGTTTATTTTGTTATTTTTTAGTTTATAGAAAAAGTATAAGCATGAGTTCGATTAAGTGATATTGAAATTTTAGATATAAAACTAAGAGTTAAATTTTTTATTAACGGGTTAAATGGGTCAACATGAATTTGACATAAAAATAAATAGATTGATATAACACGACACAATTAATTAAATCAGTTAAATTATAGTTGATTAGTACCCGATATGAATCTGAAATGACCAGACATAATTGTCACTTTAATTGTACCTCCGATTAATGCTCTTTTGCTGAAAATGTGCTCGTAAAAGATTATTAAGAACTACTGTTTTTAAGACAATAACATTAGAATTGTGGTTTTGATTTATTAGTGAGTTTTACATTGCCACCATTTTGAGAAAATCGTGGTTTCATCTCTAAGTTTACAGACACGTTTCTCAAGTGTAAGAAAATAATGTGTTACATAATTACACCAACTAGATTTAATCTATAATTGGCCCATAAAAAAAAATAAAAAAAAATGGATTTCGTGTTTGAAAATTGACCAATATAATTTTGGTAGATCGACCAGTTAGATAAAATTCTTTTGTTTTTGGGTCAGGAGTTAGATAAAACTTTGAAGCAGCCTTTTGATCTGAATAAACCATAGAAAGAAAGAAAGAAGGAAGGAATGGGATTAATGGTCTATGTTTCAAGCTGATTGATTTCATGTGAGGGTTTTCTTCCACTAGTTACGGCTTGAAGCCTTCAAACTTGCTGTTTGGACCCGCAACAATGGCTATCACAATCCTCACTAATTATTTTGATTATTTGTTCTTCTTAAATTGTTTCTCATGGACGCAATGAAAAATTATTGACTTTAACAATCTTTTATTTTGGTATATTTTTTTTTCCCGGTTTGGTTTTGTGACGCAGCGGAATAAAAAATATAAAGAACATTATGATTCTTTTATGTATCGAACCAACAAGAATATTTTTAATTCATAGATAAAGTAGAGAAAAAATCTGAAATATAATATTATTGACTGAATAATTCATAGTATAAAGAAACAATATAAATAGAAACAATTAAAACCCTAATCGTTTCCAAAACATAAGTAAAATTATGAAAATTATCAAAAATAGAAATATATGATTTTCTTAATTGATATAAAAGTATGTGTCATTTATTTAGAGTCTAACAAAACTGACGACGCTAAATTCAGAATCTTCTATAGTTTATTATTAATTTTAAAATATTTACTAAAATGACAAAAAATGAATTTTTGATGACTTAAATAATGGAATTCAGCCTTAAATTGAAGGAGTTCATAGCAAAGTAATGAGCTTTAATTGCTTGCCCGATTCAGATCAAACATTACTCGTCACATTGAATTTCGAGTTTGAGATATTTTATCTCTACTATAACTTATTATCATTTTTGTTGTGTTTTGAAGCCACGACGGTCAACCTGTTTCATGTACATTATTACCACCTATTCTAAATCACTTTGCACATAATTTTACAACTTTTTGGTTTTTATTCTTGTCTTTGCGAAAACAAAGATACTGTAATATATCAAAGATTAGGGATAATTTATGCTTGAAAATACAGTACAATATAAATGGTTTTGAGAATAATGTTGGTAGCTATTAGATAAGTCTATTTAAAACCGTTAAATAAACTTATTGAAGTTTATCCAATTTTATATTATAAATAAAAACAAATTCTCTCTCAACTTGAGTTGGTTGAAAGTGTTGAACAAGTTAATTTTGCATATTGACAAGTCAGACAAAACTTTGAGTCAGCCGATGATACAAAGAAAACGTATCAGAATGAATACGAGTAAGACGTAAATTGATTCAAATATTTTTGACCGTTGAATCAAAAAATGAAAAAGAATATGACTAAGACAGCAGTATGGTAAACTTGTTGGTACTGTATCTCCAAATGATTTTGGGTTTTTAATCCCCTTTTAATTTATCTTTGACCATTAATTATAAAAATGATAAATTAAAATAAAATAATAAAATAAATAATCTTTACATGTGTCAAATTTTTGAGATATTATCGAAAAATGGTTAATAACACATCTGATTCTTAAAATATATATTTTTTGTCCGTTTATTCTTAATTGTATCAATTTTATTAATTTGGTCTCTACATAAATAAATCGTTAAATTTTTTACGGAATGATCATATGTTAGGCATGTCATACCGTCTAAAAAAAATAACACGTAATCACTTCCCTCAAAAAATTTTACGAATTATCTAATTAGGGACCAAAATGACACGGATTGGATACTTGAGAGACCAAATTAAAAAAATTAATATAATAAATTCTAAACTAACCAAAAAAATACATATTTTAAAGACCAAAAAATGTTACTCATGGAAAAATTACTTTTTGATAATCTAGTTGAACCCTTTATGACTAATGGTCTAAATCTGATTTCATGGGTGGATATTCTACTCTTGACAGCTTGAAGCCTTCAAGCTTTACTTTGTGGACCAGCAACAATGGCTACCACAGTCAATGCCATCAACATCCTTTAAAATCAAAGACAGACATTCTTGTTAAGCTCCACATAGTCGGCCATCAAATACCGAATGGAAAATTCTTGTTCTACAGACAACGTCTTGATTGGGTTTAGAATACGTATAAAGAATAGTTTAATATACGAAACTCTCGTTATTGTTAATTTTTTTTTTTTTATAAAATTACGTTCATTTCTACTGTAACAATTTTTATAAAAGCAGAAACGAATTTGTAATAAAATTGCGAGATTCTTAGATTTGTCTTTCAATATGTTTTGAGATGTTTTGGCTAATATTTTGAAATTTTTAAAAACAAGTTTCTAATTTTTTTTTTTGTTTATTTTCATTTTGAGCTGACTCAAAACTAAACGGAATTTTAATTTTTATACCAAAACGAAAATTGCATGGAATAATGGCATCAGTGACTACTCATCTAGTTCTCAAAACAATTTAGATTTTTGAAGTAGATGAATGTTTTAACATGGTATCAGAATAAAATATTTATGTTCAAATCTCACTGTCACCTAAATTATTAACAGATTTTCATCTGTTAGGCTTAAAATTTAGCCTGCATATAAAGGAGCGTGTTGAAATATAAATATTCAAATTAAGTTTTCTCAAACTACTTCAACATATGAACATAAACTCTTCCAAATGGCCCACTAACACAAGTTCACTTTCAAAACAACAAATACGCAATCTAGAACAATTTTTCACACCTTAAATTTTTATTTTTATTTTTATTACAGGCCATTTAGACTTGCGCCAATTATTTTCTCGAGCTCAAATACCGGCCACCATAGTCCAAACAAGTTTAAAACATGTTCCGTGAAAAATAAAGATGACTTACCTGTAGAAGGTATTAAAAGTTTTGAATCTGAAACTTCTATGCTATTAGAAGTTAGACGTAACTACTGAACCACTCTTAAATATTTCAGGCATCTCTAGTCCTTACTATGTTCTGTACCTGAATTTAAATTTTAGTAAAAATAATTTAAAATATTTATCTAATGTTAGATTCGTACCCATATCAAATAAAGGGAAATCTTTTTTCAAACCCAAATCAAGAGAGACCCAAATCTAGACCCAAATGTTTAATGTTGAGATTTTATTATCCTTTAAAGATCTAATAGTCATTGTTTTCTCTCTTTTAAATTTAAATTTGTCATAATTTAAACTTGGGTTTTTCAATTTGAAGAGGTGTATACCAAATCAAGTTTTTTACCCTTTTTTTTTAACTTTAATTTGGGTAAAAATTAGGTTTCTATCAGAGATGGTCTTATTAATCAATCATTACTCATTTAAATATTTTCAAAATAATTAGTTTATATATCAAATAACTTCTCACAATTCTTTAATTTCCCAAATGACCTTATAATTTCCCATAATTCTCTAACTTTTAAAATAGTAAATGAAAAGAAGAGCGAAAAGGAGGGATTGCAAAATTTTGTACATCGGGTTGGACACTGCTTTGCATTGTCTTGCCGAGTCATAGTCACAGACCTTGCATTCAGTTGGCCAGCGATGGATAGGAGAACCAAGCTTCAGGAAGTAGCTCTTGGGCTTGATCAACCGTAGCAGTCAATAGTAATCTGGCCCACTCTGCAATTGCTTATTACTGGGCCCTTCTAATTGTAATACATTATTGATGATGACTCAAGGCCCACGATGACTAACTTGTCATTCCTGCAAAATTGGTACCTCCTATCCAACATTTCTATTCTAACTTTTGTTTAAATGGTAAATTACTCCTCGTGTCTTATTGAAAGAATGATTAATATATGATGAATTTTACTTAGCAATCCATTCTGAGTTTAGACAGGGATGAGCTGTAATTCCATACATTCTAAATTCGAAACTTAGCAATTCATTTGGGACTGTGTCATGAGAGTTTTATTCTTCGTGAATTCTCTAGTTCCAGTTGTAGTGACTTACTTCAGATTATACCGGGGAGTAGATTAATCGAAATGTACGTAAGTTAATCCGAACATCTCTGAATATAATTAAAAATAAATAAAAAAGTCTTTGCACTTCAAATAAAGTGGTTCTGCACCCTCCATTCCTTACGTGTAAAGCAAATTTGTGCAAGTTTGGATCATAAAGAGTAGGAATATTTCTGGGATGAGCTTCAGGTTTGGTCTATTGAAAACATGTCCGCATGCATGGCTGAGCATAGTTGGGATTATAACAATGAGCCGTTGATTTAACCGTTGGGTCATCAGTCAAATTAGTCATACATTACAAATATAAATAACTATGCCCTTCAAGTATTGAGCGAGATGTTACAAAAACGAACTCAATGTGCACGCACTGTGGTCCAATCATTGTGTCACTGTGTTAATCTGTTAGGCTGGGCCGAGCTAAGAGAATTGGGCGAGCGCGGTCTACTATTTAGCCCATTCGAGAAATCAAGCCCATGGGATACTTGGCGCCAATGGGCCCAAAGGGCCTGTGTAGATGTGATATCAATGTTCTCTCCACATGTCAAACTAGTCTGGATAGCTTTCTTGGACAGTTACAGGAGCTTCTCGCGGTGTTAATTGAAATGAGTTATTCGGACTTCATTTGGATAACGGCCCGAGCTCGAGCTCAACTCGTATTTTAAACGAACTGAGTTTGAATAGTTTTTAGACTCATTTAGAAAAACAAACTCAACATTCTCGGACTCAACCTCACAAAACTCAGCTCGATTAACTCGCTTATTCACGCCCATGTCATACTTCACATAAGCCATTCTTTCTAGTTGGAAGAAGATACAACCCATCAGACATGATATAAAATGAAGTCAAAAGCAATTACTAGAATGTGATTCATGGTCGACTAGGCGGTAAGTAATACTTTCCCCTTATACAGAAAAGGATTTCTAATTGTGGATCTTGATTTGACTTTTTTGTAAGTATTAAATTACAGTGAAGTAAAAGAACAAAAACTTTATATACGTAAGAGTGACATCGAAGAACCATTTCCCAATTTTTCGTGGAAAAGGGGATTTTCAAGGGACCACCCATTTCATTGCAAAAACGGATTGGACTCTGATCCTCAGTCTCTTCAATTGGATTTCTCTATCTATGCCATTGAGTCTGATTTTCTGCACCATAAGGTAGAAGGTTCCTAGAATCTCTCTCTCTCTCTCTCTCTCCAAAGATTGTTGCATTTTATGATAAGTGACAAGGGTTATCAAATAAGTTATACAAGTCATTCCATAAACCATTGAAATAGGTGACACATCAGCACAAATAGAGCATGAAAACGAGAGAGTCTCCAAAACTGTTTTGTTGAAGACACTCGCGCGTTGGCGGTTGAAAACAACATACACTTTTACATATACAACCAAACCTGAGATACCTTTAGGACCACTCCCCCCACCAGTAATCCTCAAACTTATCATATAAACCCACCAATTAAGATATTCTGTGATCACATCCGTGAGCTGACCACAAGTGTTATTGGGGCCCATCCTCATGCTACAAAGCCTAAAAGCACCAGCCTCACGTGGGGGTGGATGATGGTGTCATAATAATTCTCAAAAGTGTTAGCAGATAAGTTTGGTTGAATGGGATGTTTGGATCTTTCAAAACACACCCATGTTGTCAGCAAAGCAAAATCCATCTTTTAAGGGACAGTCCTTGTCCACCAATCATCAGATAATAGCTACCTCCCTCCTCGGATTTACACAAAAAAGCCAAACCAACCCCACCCCCCATTATTATATCCAAATTGACTGCATTTTGTTTCTTCTTTATGATGCTGCAGCTTCCAAAAAGATTATGGTATGACTTCACCTCTCTCTCTCTCTCTCTCTCACACACACACACACACACATCACTTTGTCCCAATCATGCTGACTGAATCAGATGCTGACAGTGAACCTGACAGGGGAGGTCATGTTTCCTAGTTATTAATAGTATCTCTAAATCTCAGATACTGATGTGTAGTGCCCATATCAGTCAATTTCTTCTACAGAATGAATGGAAGACAATATGTACAGCGAATCCAACAACTAGAAGACATGCTTTTAGTGTCTTCTGCAATAATGTCTTCACTTGTCCGTGTAGTCCACCTCATCATTTCTTTATCACAATGAAAGCCACAGAATCAATGTTTGAAACCTTGTACTTTTCAGAATATAAACAATATTTTTGAGAAGGGACAGAAGCTTCTTTTAAGTGTCTACAGATATTTTTCCAGATGTCTGTCCCCATCAATAAAATGCTTACTCAAGAGAACACCACAAAGATACTAGTGTCTAGTAAATAAAAACTTTCTAGGTGCAAAGTACTAAAAGCTGGACTCAACAAAAACCTTATCAAATTTACCTTAAGAAGAAGCTTTACCAAATGTGCACAAAGTCCTTCTACAGCATATTGGTGAGAAGCCCTAAATTGAAGCTCCTGCTGGAACCCATACTTGTCAATACATCCCAATGACATGAAAATTTGCTCCATTGCCTGCCAATTTCTTGACTTTCAAGATGCTTACCCTGCTACAACCCTGGAAAGGAGGAGGAGGAGTAGGAGGGGGGGGGGGGGGGCGCAAGGAAGGTGAAATGAGTGTCATTTTGTTGTAAGGGGATGAGGGAGATGGTGAAGCGGGTATGGGAAAGTTTACGGTGGTACCAACCGAAGAGTGGAAGAAAGGTTAATGGAGAGAGGAGATTGNCAAAGATACTTCAAATACATGTAAAACTAAATTAAGTTGATCTGAAATATTCTCAGAAAAAACGAGGGCATATCCATACTCTAACAACACTAGATACTGGAAAAGATGATAGGGTTACTTCCATATAATCCTTAGTGAGGGCATATCCATACTCTAACAACACTAGATACTGGAAAAGATGATAGGGTTACTTCCATATAATCCTTAGTTTATGTACATATTCAAAAAACAATATATACTTCCTCTAAAATGATTTCTGTTGGCTTTGATTCAAAAGATCTTGTGGTTGGCATGTCCTTTGTTCCATCTTCAGTCCCACTTTTGTAGGCATACCCGTGCCAGCATATAACCCCATAAAAACAAGATCATTGACAAGGTACAGGAATGAGGATATGGAATGCAGAATAAGGATAAATTCATGATCACAGTGGAAAACAATGTGTCTCCTCTGGTAATGTCCTAGGCATTGGAAGTGCTGTGACATATCTTTGAGGGAATATTTTCAGTGCAGTTGAAGTTGCACCAGAGGATGACGGTGTCTCAGCTGCACCAGCTGGTCCTGGTCGGCTGTGGAACTTAACAAAACGGTTTATGACAGAAACCTTCTCCAATTCTTGGGATTCCACCCTTATGTCAAGAATTGATGCTCTCTTGTCCAATCTGAATCATCAAATTGATAAGCATTTATTTGATGAAATAATTGTAGCTATGATATGTCTAGTAAGACGAAAACTGCATCATATCAACCATCTTGATTCTTACCTTGATAAGTCATCTTCCAGCCACTTCGCTCGACTGATGAAGTCTTCTACAGTTTTGGAGAAATTCTGTTCCCGAGTACCCTCAGAAGTTTTAGCCTTTTCAGATGACCTGGCCAAATTTTGAACAGGAGATCAATGTTTGGAGTTAAGATAAGATCAAATTTTGATAAGACTCCTATTTTCATTTCCATGGTTACACAACATAGTGATCTTGGTATAACTTACCGGCATTACCAATTCTTTTTACTCATAGTTGGAATAAAGAGAAAATAAAGGGCAACTCTTACATGTCATAGGTGTCAGAAGCCTTCTGAGAATCACTAGTCAACGTGCATGCATCCCCTAACCCTAATCTAGCAGCATAGTACGCCATGTTACCATAGTTTGAAGTGGCATCTGCAGAGAGAATGACAGCTGGGGCAGGACGAAACAGCTGCTGCATAAGCTGTGTTGTCATAATAAGCCTTTTCTTTGGTCGAAGCATTGACTCGATGTGTTCAATTATTTCAGCTTCATCTTCTACCTGCCAAGTCAAAGTCTTTAGAACTGGCTTTGGACCTTAAAATTCTAAGTGAAGAACACATTTCAATTTTTGTCATACGCCTGACCAAGTGAGTACCTTTTCAACAAGCCGATTTGCAGCTTGTGCCCATTCGAGTTCTGCCATGCTGCAAGAATTTAAATAGAATGGCAAATGTAAGATTACATGGGCAATGATGAAAATCAAAACATGAAATCCAAAAGAGAAGCTGCTGGAATATAGATGGAAAACATTCCTTTTCTCTTCAAAGGCGCTACACAAAAAATTTGCAAAAATTCAAAGATTTTTCCCTGTCATTATACCTTTTCAATCACCAAATCTATTGCAGCAGGAAACAAACGGGGGATACCAAAACAAAAGAAACACTTAACAAGAGGGGCAACTAACGGAGATTGAAGACTTCCAAATATGGCACACACCTGATACTTAGTGGCCTCTGAGAACCTTGAGTCACTTCTTTATGCCAGGGTAGAAGCTCATATACAGCAATTTTACGCTTCTTTGGTCTCAAAATAGCCAGAGTATTACTAGTGACGTCTGAAGGCAACTCGTAATTGGGTGATAAGTGTTCAGCTGCTACCGAGGTGGTAGCTGTAGCTGGCCAGACACTGCTAATACGATTAGCACAAGCTGAATTTACTTGCACCATAGAACTTTTCATCTGCAAATCTTGAAGAGGCTTGCCAAGATAGAATTGCTGTGCAGCATTCCTTGCAGACATTGCATCATACATTGGCAAAACCTGCCCATTTTTCAAGGTTCCATACTGCTTGAACCAAGAGGGTGCCATATTGGAATGTTCTATTCCAGTAGATGACATATTACTATTAATAGGACTCTGAGAATCATTTTGACCAAATTTTACCATCTCCTGAGGAGTATCTCGGTGAAGGGTTTGAGTTGGCACTTGGACTGATTGATCTCCTCTCGCCTCTGATGAAAAGCTCAGCATTCTATTATTCCCAGTTGGAAATTGATTGAGCTGTGACACCACATTGAGCTCACTGTTAACCAGGTCTCTGACTAAAACCCTCTTGCTTGGATCAGTATCCACATTCTTCATAGAGAGCTGTTGGTGCAGAAGGGAGTAGTTTTGATGGTGAACATTTGAAGGTCCCAAAAAATTTCCAAAAGCTTCAAGATCTTTTGCAGAAATAGCTGGTGCTTGGTTATCACTATGTCGTGCCCTAGCTAAGCCCTGTGGATGGAAAGCCGTCATTAATGAACCAGATGCAGCAGATTCTTGCCCAATCATTAATCTGCCTGTCTGTGAAACTGGATCAAGTGCCTCTGATGAAATTAGCTGGTGGGACCTTTCTTTCCCTGATTGTTCTTTCCCATAGTCAGAACCTGGTGAATCCCTAGACCGTGCATAAATTTGCAGTGAATTGTTTCCTCCTTTAAATGAATTTTGATCATGTAGCTCCCGTGGAGCACCTGAAGCAGTTTCCATGCCGCTATTAGCTGAATCTGGGGAATGAAGCAAACTGCGAGGTTCTGTGCCAGATAGATGCTGTTGAGTGGGAGTATTTGTCCATACATTGGGTGGCCTCATTGAAAACCTAACATGTGATTCGGAGGTTACCGATGGCTGAGTGACTGGCATGGCCTCCACAATTGGAAATTGCTGATCATAAGGGTAAGTGTGAATCAGATGGGAGGTATTCCGAGAGGCCGCATCATTCAAATCCAGGTATCTGCTTGCTGTACCAGGCAGTGTTGATTGTGGAGATTGGCAGTCTTGATTTTGAAGCCGACTTCTAACATACGGAGGACACAAAGGATATGTTGCACTGGAGTTTCCCTGCATGTACTGAAGTAAGGTTTAATCATTTGGTTAGTCATGTAAAAGTAGAGAGGTCACACCCTGCTCTACCAAGTCAGGCTTGGTGCGAGTAAAACTAGTATAACTCACCGTTTGTGGAGAGCTTTGAGAAGCATCAAAACGGTCTAACTTGGGCAGCTTTTGAGATGGAGGGCCCAACCCTAAGCTGAAGCATGGTGAACCAGAAGATACATTGCATGGTTGAGGAGCACATGCATCAGGAGATAATGAAGTTGAGTCAAAGGGTGCTCCAGTTCCATGTTCCCTGGACCTGTCAACCTTGTTAAGAAGCTCGAGCATATTTTGACTGCGATTGCAAACATCAGTCAGTTGACTCAGTTCCTATACAACTACATAAAAAAGAAGGCACCAGACAGAGAGTATGGAAGTAAGGTAGATCAAGCAGTATGCAAAGCATCCAGAGATTAGAGATGGATTTTCAAATTCAATGGCAAATCTATGCTACTTATAATTGTCAACATTTGTGAAAAACTTTTGATTTCCTATTTTATCCTAATTATTATTATAAAGTCAACTATACCCACATATTTACTTTCATCTAATTTTTATTTTCTATACATATTTGACTTCCAAGTTCTTTTAGACTCTTATTAGTAGTATTTGACTTCCAAATTTTTTTGGACTCATTTATTAGCAGGACACTTGCATATAGTTTTCTATATCTATCTAGAAATAAAATCTAATCTATATTGTATTATTATATATGTAGTTGTCAAATTGGGTTCTACTATTAAATAGATGTCGTACTTGATTTTTTGGTTACAACAAGACTATAATACAAAAAAATAGTATTACAATTTAATTAATCTCTTTGACAAAAAATATAATAAATATATAATATACTTATATCTATAATATAAGTAGATGCGAAAATACTCTAGAATGATAACCTTACAATGAAACTCTATTATAAATAAAAGAGGAAATGTCTAAAGGGGTTGCAAAAATAATTTAAAAAATGACAGATTAGATACTCGAAAAGGAGTAGAATAAATCAATAATAAAAATAAAAATTAATTATTCAACACACTATATAATTCAATTTAATTATATATGTAATTTAATTTTTTTATAAAAAAATATTATTTAAATATGTTAACGTGCATTGTTAGTAAACAAATAAAAGCATACTTGTGTATTATGAATTCAAGTATGATCTTTTACCACCACACATTCAGAAATCAAATCAGATGAGCCATGAAACTTTGACTTATCACATATAGTGACTACCTTTTCAGAACATTTGCATTTGAGCCATGAAAGCCAGCTGATCTATCAAAGAAAGCAGAGACAGCTCCCATATTACTTGTACGTGGTAACTCCTGTGGTGCTCTTGTATTTATTTGACCTGGCAAGTGCCCCTGCGAAGAAATATGAATATCATAACTAATAATAAATTCATAAACTGGCAAATCATCAGAGCTATCTTCAATTGATGAAGGATCCACAATTCACCTTTCCGAATTCCATTCCGCTAGAGACATTACCGACAAACTCAAACTGCCCAACATATCCTTGCTCATAACCACTCAATCCTTGAGGAACTTGTTGGCTTAGAACCTGTGTACACATAACAGTCTCATATTTTCAGCATGTTCTGTATACACCCCAAAATTTGCCAGTGTANTAAGGTAGATCAAGCAGTATGCAAAGCATCCAGAGATTAGAGATGGATTTTCAAATTCAATGGCAAATCTATGCTACTTATAATTGTCAACATTTGTGAAAAACTTTTGATTTCCTATTTTATCCTAATTATTATTATAAAGTCAACTATACCCACATATTTACTTTCATCTAATTTTTATTTTCTATACATATTTGACTTCCAAGTTCTTTTAGACTCTTATTAGTAGTATTTGACTTCCAAATTTTTTTGGACTCATTTATTAGCAGGACACTTGCATATAGTTTTCTATATCTATCTAGAAATAAAATCTAATCTATATTGTATTATTATATATGTAGTTGTCAAATTGGGTTCTACTATTAAATAGATGTCGTACTTGATTTTTTGGTTACAACAAGACTATAATACAAAAAAATAGTATTACAATTTAATTAATCTCTTTGACAAAAAATATAATAAATATATAATATACTTATATCTATAATATAAGTAGATGCGAAAATACTCTAGAATGATAACCTTACAATGAAACTCTATTATAAATAAAAGAGGAAATGTCTAAAGGGGTTGCAAAAATAATTTAAAAAATGACAGATTAGATACTCGAAAAGGAGTAGAATAAATCAATAATAAAAATAAAAATTAATTATTCAACACACTATATAATTCAATTTAATTATATATGTAATTTAATTTTTTTATAAAAAAATATTATTTAAATATGTTAACGTGCATTGTTAGTAAACAAATAAAAGCATACTTGTGTATTATGAATTCAAGTATGATCTTTTACCACCACACATTCAGAAATCAAATCAGATGAGCCATGAAACTTTGACTTATCACATATAGTGACTACCTTTTCAGAACATTTGCATTTGAGCCATGAAAGCCAGCTGATCTATCAAAGAAAGCAGAGACAGCTCCCATATTACTTGTACGTGGTAACTCCTGTGGTGCTCTTGTATTTATTTGACCTGGCAAGTGCCCCTGCGAAGAAATATGAATATCATAACTAATAATAAAATCATAAACTGGCAAATCATCAGAGCTATCTTCAATTGATGAAGGATCCACAATTCACCTTTCCGAATTCCATTCCGCTAGAGACATTACCGACAAACTCAAACTGCCCAACATATCCTTGCTCATAACCACTCAATCCTTGAGGAACTTGTTGGCTTAGAACCTGTGTACACATAACAGTCTCATATTTTCAGCATGTTCTGTATACACCCCAAAATTTGCCAGTGTATGAATATGATAAAGAGCTCCATTAGAGGTTAGAGTTTGAACAAACCTGACCCAATGGCTTTTGGTTAGCCTGTGACACTGGTCTAGAATCACTTCCATGTAGCCATATATTCTCTCTCCCTTCGTGTCCTGTGATGGTATGCTGTGAAGTATGAGAGTGATAGCTGTCATTGGAGTTCTCTCTTTGGAAGCAATTTTCTCCAGATAGTCTGCTTTCGTGGTCAACTCTTTGGTCAAACTTAGTCATGCTTGATTTTCTTACAGAAGTGAAGTTATTCAACTGGGAATGTTCTGTGTCTACCACTGTGTTAATATCTCCATATTTCAACGGCTCCAATCTACTGACTGAATCAGAGAAAGAACCTGCCACACGATTACCACCAGTCTTCCACGTATTACTAAAATCCTTGTTCGGGGCTCCATTGATATCACCTGCACAATATTTGTTCGCAGTACTATTACAAAAATTTAATACACCGGTTCCACTGGGTGACAGCGACTCTACGTTCCTGCCTGTTGGGTTAGTGAATGGCTGGCTGCCATTTGCACATGAAGATGTGGTCATTTCATGTGGATCACTTTCTAAATGCTCGTAACTTTGACCAGGCCAAGCATTTGGTAACGGTGGAAGTGTGTGAACTGATTGACTTCCCTCAACTGCTTGCTTCTGTTGAGGGTTACGATCTAACCACTTGCTAGTACTTTTAGGAGATTGCTGACTAGATTCATGAGAGGAACCTGAGGGCACTTCCTCTCTTGGTTTGACTGAATATTGGATACCTGATTGCTGAAAACCATGGGAGCTCGAGCTGATATTGGAATTGTTAAACAGAACCTCAGGTTTTGAACTTAGAGAGGAGGCACTCTGAAAGCTGTTATCAACCCAATTGTTTTGTTGTTTCCCACTGTCCATAAAATTCCGGGCCTGATTATCAGTTGACAGTTCTGGGTTCTGAAAACTCAAGCCACTCCACTCTTCTTGTAGCCCGGTATCACTACTAGAAGCTTCTGCAACAGCAGACTGCATAAGAGCACTCCAGCTTCCACTTTGAATTGAGGGAAAAGCACTCATATAATCTGCAGTTTCCAATGTATTCTCAAAATCTCTTGTGCTTGTGTCAGTGCGTTTGCCAAAAGAAGCTTCCCAGCTGTTGTCATCAGTATTGAACAAGATCTTCTGTTCCAATGGATCAAGAGAAGCCAAACCTGCAGAAGGGCCAACATTTGTTGTTTTCCCTGGAAATAATCCAGGCCAAACAGCTTGTTCTTGCCTTCTGCCATATTCCTGCATTGATGCATTGCTTTGCACTGAATTCATATGCTGCAAGTTTCCCGGCATAACTCCACTACTTAAACCTTGAATGGGGACTTGCAAAAATGAGTTTTTCTCCTGAAATAGCTGGACGGAAGAATTATTGCACTGATTATCCACAAATGAGTCCATTGTGGACGATGACTGCATTATAGGTTTCTCCAATTGGTTACTGTTGCCCTTGGTGAACATATTTGCATATTCATAAGATGTCTCTTGGAGAGGAGAGCATTGATTGAAATCATTTCCTGCGCTAGCAATGGGATTTCCATATAAAGATACATCAAGCTGCTGAGGAACCAGGCCCATCGAATGCAGGTTCTGACTTTGAGCTTGTGAAAAAACCAAACCATTTGGAAATCCTTGAACTGATGATGAGCCACGCTGCACTAAGTTCATGTTACCAGCCTTAAATACCTGTGATGCACCATGAACAGGCGTTCCATTAATTAAGGGTGGAAACTGACCCCCAGAAGTCTGCTTATTAGCTGTAGATGGCTCAATTGTAAAATTCTGTTGCCTGGCATCACCCAACTCCTGAAGTTGCTGCTGCCTCTGCAGTTCTTGCAGCTGCTTGAACATAATCTGCCTCTGCAACATCATTGATCATTAAACCCAGACTGCTGCCTTGGCTGATGTTGTGAAACACCAGGTTGTTATATCCTAAAAAGCTACTGCTCCCAACCAATAATGATAAAATCAACGGGAGTTCTGACAGTTCTCAATCTCCACGAAATTTTCAATGCAAATCAAAAAAACATTTTCTCCCATGAACTCTCCTGAATTTTGTTCCATTTGAAAATTCCTGCCATTTCATGCCCTCTGGAAGTATTTGCCTCCATGTCCTCTTTCAGAATCTGCAAACACCCAAAGGAGTAAAACTAGCTATTCCGAAAGCAAGGAAAGGTGCTAAAAAACACCATTTGTGAAGTGTGTCAATTAGAGGACAATAAACAGGTGATGAAGAAGAAAAGTGAGTCAAAAACAAAAAAACAAAAAAAAAAACAAAAATCCTACTCTGCAGACTTTCACTATCTTACAATGGTGATCTCTCAAGCCACATGGACAAGCAATACGGAGAACATATAAAGCATGAAGAGGATCAACAGTGATCAACCTAAAGGATACTTAATTTCTACACTTCATGTTTATTTGGATTTAAATACTGGAACCACAGTGCCTTCGGCTTTCTTACATCTAATGATTACAAAAGCAATGGCCATTTCTTGTCGACAGTTGATGCCCTTGAAAAGAATTGTCTTTAGCCCAAAGAAACTTTGGATCTTGCTTCCAACTTAATTCCTAAGTAAAACCTCACAGAATTAGAAAGCTTCACATCAACAGAGGCGGAAAAAAAAAACATCCAATAAAACAAGAAACAGTAGATGAAAACTTTGAGAATGCTACCATGGAATGTACTGGTAATATCAGAGTTCAGACACTCACAGTATGTAATAATTGCTTAATCATTCATGGTGAAATTAAAGAAATCAATCTTTGCTAAATCCTCATTATTTGGACTACTTCACTCATGCAAAACTGAGTGGAAATCTAATTACTCCCTGTTAATTTAGGTAATAAATACAAACTGAATTTAAACAAAATACAAGAAAAACAGAGGTAAATCCATTTAAAATGAACAATTAGAACAACCATATAATATATTACCACTAAAAATGTTAAATTGGTACCATGTAAATGAAACACCGTTTCCATTGAAAATTTCCAAGTAATGTAACCTCAGAATCCTCAAAAATGCCATTGTAATTATAGAATTACACATGCAGCACATGAGGAAATTTAGGGGAAACTCCCAAAGCCGAACAAAAAAACCTAAAAAACTACTGCATGTCACCAAACTAACAAACCCTTATACTAAAATTGCTAAAAGACCAATTAGTTGAGAGAAAACAGCAATTACAAGGCAATTTCCACCAAATTAACACAAAAACTAGAGAATTAAGAGACTTATTAGGAATTGTACAGCACAAGTCAGCTAAAGCATGAGAACAAAGCTGAGCCAGAGGTTATGTACAACCAAAGAAGCAGAAAAGACAGTAACTTTGTGAGGGTTAGAGTGTGATCTAAGTGAGAGAGAGAATTTAGGTATGTTGTGAGAGTGTAAACTTACTCTGAAGGTCTTGCATTAATGGCGATCAAAGTACTGTAAAGGTCTCAGCTGTTACAGCACCAAAATGGCTCTGCTTTCTCTCTCTATATATACATATATATATGTGGCTTTCTCTTACAACAAGTACATATATAGCTCTCTGCTTTCTCTCTCTAAGACGACGAGCGAGAAGGGTTGTTTCTGTTCAGACAGCGCCGAAGATAAAGCGATCGAAGGAGTGGAAATATAAACAGTCTACTTCGGACCAAGCCTCCAGGTGTTGAACAGAGGCTGAGGTTCAGTTTGAGGCTCGAATTCCCGAAGCTATTTGGGTAAGAGAAATGTCGGCGTGTTCCTATTGTGTACGATCTCTGGTCTCTTGTAGCCGTAGATTTANCGAGCCTCCAGGTGTTGAACAGAGGCTGAGGTTCAGTTTGAGGCTCGAATTCCCGAAGCTATTTGGGTAAGAGCAATGTCGGCGTGTTCCTATTGTGTACGATCTCTGGTCTCTTGTAGCCGTAGATTTAGATATTTAGAGCGTCGACGGCTGATATTTGAGGTATATGTACTCTCTAGTTAGCTCGTATAAAATCTCTGTGCCGGAAGAGATAAAAAGTGGAGCGGGTTGTACTAAAGTCCACGCGCTTTTTTCCACGCGTGGGCCTTTTGAGTTCACTTTTTTACACTTTTTGTGTATGGGAAATATTTTGGTTTTTTAATTTTTTTGGGGCTTTTAATGCGTTTTTCCCGCCGCCAGGTTTAGCAAATCGAGTCCACCTAACGGCGTTAACGGCGAAAAAATATTGGGTCTCAATCCGTTATTTTTGTAATCGTCCATTAATAAACAAAATATTCGTAATTATACCTGCCACGTCATACATAATCACATCCATGATAGAAAAAAAACCTTATTTTATCTATTTTATATTTTTTTTATTTAAATGATTATTAATGGCAGTCAATTTAATTAGAACGAGTAATACTANACAAAATATTCGTAATTATACCTGCCACGTCATACATAATCACATCCATGATAGAAAAAAAATCTTATTTTATCTATTTTATATTTTTTTTTATTTAAATGATTATTAATGGCAGTCAATTTAATTAGAACGAGTAATACTAGACAAACTAAATAATAGTACTAGATATAGAGACTAAATAATGTAAAATTACCATAATGAGAAAATTTAAATTTCAAACATATAAAAGTGGAACTAACAACACTATTATAGTAATGCCACGTTGTTTAGTTCATGTATTTGATTTTTTTTTTTTTTTTTGTCAGTATAGCATTTACTAAATCAGAATTTTGTTTTACAANACATATAAAAGTGGAACTAACAACACTATTATAGTAATGCCACGTTGTTTAGTTCATGTATTTGATTTTTTTTTTTTTTTTGTCAGTATAGCATTTACTAAATCAGAATTTTGTTTTACAAGAAGTTCCGTTTTCCTTTTATATAATTTTAAAAAAAAAATTTAATGAATCATTCATCATTAATGAATAGAAGATTAATTTGTATATAATGGGTTATACGCATAATAAATTATATGCCAAGGATTCANTTAAAATTTTTTTTAATGAATAGGAGATTAATTTGTATATAATGGGTTATACGCATAATAAATTATATGCCAAGGATTCAAATCCCTTCCAATAGACTTTTTCTTAATTTTTTTTTGATAGATCATTCACCATTAATAAATGTAGAGCCGATTTATATACAAAGAATCTTATTTAAATGTATGTTTAGATGATTTTCCAAGAAGAAAAAATATATATTAGACGGGATCTCAATCCATTTGTCAAAAAAAGAAATTAAAGAAAAAATATATTATTTTTCCTCTCCTTTTTTTTTTTATCAAAATATTTTTTCCCCCTTAAAAATTTTTTTGAAGTAGATTTATAAAAGTAAAGTTAACTTTTTTCAAAAAAAAAATGTTAAACAATAGAAGATTACTCACAAATAAATATATAAATTTCCACAGCTACAGCTTTCTTACTGACATTTGGGCTTATGGTGAATAGATCACTTGAAGCCAAAAGCCCAGATATTAGGGCTTGGGGTGATCGGACTGCAACTGAACCTAAAGCCCACCTCATACAAATATGATTGCACAAAAATAAAAAATAAAAAATTGAAAACGATTGATCTTTCGAATCTTCTCTAGGTAAATTTCATTCACACTTCGGGTAGTTAATTATATTTCAGAGACATCCTCTTTATATTTTGATACTTCACTAACACCCTCTCGCCGAACAAAATGATAAACAATTTAAGAACTCACTCTTTTTATAGGTTTGCACTCATAATGCATGAGAGAGAGGGAAAAAAACAAAACAAAAGAAGCTAGGTTACCATGTTTTTGTTTTGTCAAAGCTCTCATGGATTTTTGAGCTTGCTGCGTACGATTAGTTGCTGCTCTCCCATGTTACGGTTCCTTGCAGTCCGAACCGAGTGCTCACATTAGGTTAGAGAGTTGGGGGTAATAACTTCTCTACATTTTATTGAATATTTATCATATTTTATACATAAAACACTCGTTTATGATTAAATCTAAGAATGATAGATGATAAAATATCTTNTCGGGGGTAATAACTTCTCTACATTTTATTGAATATTATCATATTTTGTACATAAAACACTCGTTTATGATTAAATCTAAGAATGATAGATGATAAAATATCTTACCTTAAAATACTTATGATTGCTCTAAATCTAAACTCTTATGGGTGGGACATATTAAATATATATATATATATAATTCAATTCTTTTTTGAGAAAATCACATATATCACGTTTGAGTGTGAGGGGAGAACTGTTTGTTTGTCATATGTAATNAATTCAATTCTTTTTTGAGAAAATCATCACATATATCACGTTTGAGTGTGAGGGGAGAACTGTTTGTTTGTCATATGTAATAGGATTAAATTGGGCACAGAAAAAGAGGAGAATTTATGGGATTGAAGATGCAACACACAACAAAGTGTCTCTTTAATGAGCACTTCCAAATTTGGTGTGTAGTTATTGTTGGAATAATCATATCCAACGTACTACTTTTCTTATTTTGGTAATCATTATCATTCCATAATAGTAATTGGAAAGAATAATAAATAATTTTTGGGAAAAAGAGGGTAATTTAATTTCTCAGGTCATTGCTCCACCGCATGCATGGATGCATGCAACTTGTGGAATAGTAGGCGTCTCTCTCTCTCTCTCTCTCTCTCTCTCTCTCTCTGGCAATTCCAAAGAGCAAAACCTCTTGCGGCAACTACATTTTCTATCTTTTTGTTCTTATTATGTTGTAGCCTATCTGCTCATTTTTATTATATCCTCTCTCTCTCTCTCTCTCTCTCTCTCTCTCTCTCTCTCTCTCTCTCTCTCTCAAATGAAGCATGTGATGTTTTGTTGAATTGNGTTGTAGCCTATCTGCTCATTTTTATTATATCCCCTCTCTCTCTCTCTCTCAAATGAAGCATGTGATGTTTTGTTGAATTGTGAGTTAACCACAATATAAAAACAAATTACAAAAAAAAAAAAAAAAAAACTTTGGGGAAAGAGGTTTTGGAGAAGACTCCAAGTAAAATCCAAGACATACACCAATCCCATTTGATAGAAAACGATAAATACTGTAATCTAGTGAAAAAGAAAATGAGAGAATTTTTAATTTTCAATTATCTTTTTCTTTCTCAATAGCTAAACTTTCATCGTTATCAAATATAGAAACTATCAAACCTAAGTTTGAGTAGTTACCTATAGAATTCTCTTTGTTGAAAAAATTAGATATAAATAAAGTGAACGACAGGATAAGACGCAGATTAGGTCGCTCTCTTAAGACGATTCGCGCTCCTTTATGAAAAAATCACAGCGCAGAAGACAGTAACGCGTCGTCCCCAGGATACAACAATCGAACTTATTGACTGTATTTTCACTCATATCTGCACAATCGAATAAAGCAGAAGTTTTACACACACCTTTGAATATTGTCCAGAAACTTATACAATAAAAAGATAGTTGATATCAAATTGTATATCTCTATACTGAAAATATGTATATATATAAATAATATATGTGTTTAATAGTCTGTAATTACTTCTATACTTAATTGGATAATAACTCAAAATATGACTTTTGGAATATTTGTCGTTTGAGGTTTTTGGTATTCAGCAACTAAAATTTTAATATAGAAGTAATGACAAAAAATAATTAAACAAATATTAAAAAGTAGGTTTAATACTAACTAATATTTTATTTCATTTAGGCGAGTCAGGGGACCCACTACCCAGGTCCGTATCTTTTCCGCTAGTCCCACTCCTGCGCACGTGAGAGTCCCAAGACTTCTATTTTATTCAAATGTTAGATAACACTAGTATATATATATACTCAAGTATATTTGAATGTTTAGTCAATATGAGATTGAGTTCTCACATAAAAAACACTCCTTTAGTTAAAATATTCTAACACTCTTCGATAACTTGTTGATTCTCCCGATGTTCCCTTACGTGTAAGCTATATGTGGTAGCATATAGAAATTGCATCACTGAAATTAAAATGCATATAATATATGAAATTGAATTTCCTTGTCGAACTATATTATTTTTCACGTTTTCTTCTTATTCCAATATTTATTCTCGATTTTCTTAGTGTTAGATATTATTATTTGCAGTATTTTCTTAGAATCCATTGTGAGGTTAGAAGAGTTTNTAATTCAAATGTTAGATAACACTAGTACATATATAGACTCAAGTATAATTGAATGTTTAGTCAATATGAGATTGAGTTTTCACATAAAAAACACTCCTTTAGTTAAAATATTCTAACACTCTTCGATAGCTTTTTGATTCTCCCGATGTTCCCTTACATGTAAGCTATATGTGGTAGCATATAGAAATTGCATCACTGAAATTAAAATGCATATAATATATGAAATTGAATTTCCTTGTCGAACTATATTATTTTTCACGTTTTCTTCTTATTCCAATATTTATTCTCGATTTTCTTAGTGTTAGATATTATTATTTGCAGTATTTTCTTAGAATCCATTGTGAGGTTAGAAAAGTTTATATGCGAAAAACCATGATGAATTAGATCAAACCCAAGACAGGTTTCCACGTCTCCAAAGGCCTCATCTAAAAAGCCACAAAAACAGCCTAAAAACTCCAAAAAAAAAAAAAGAAAAAACGCTATAAAAAGCCACAAAAACAGCCTAAAAACTCCAAAAAAAAAAAAGAAAAAACGCTAGAAGGAGGGCTTGAACCTCCGACCTTGTGGTTAACAGCCACACGCTCTAACCAACTGAGCTATTCCAGCTTTGAACATGAATCTTCAATTATTTTATTTTATAGTTAACAGAATCATAATATTTTCTACCCACCAAACCTACCCATCAAAATAGAAAATTGTAATAATATCTTCTTATTTTTTTATGTTAAAAAAAAAAAAAACCTACCCATCTACCATCTATATGAAACTTATATACGGTGGCATTCATCATTATTGTATCTCCCATTAGTCGGGGCTAAATTAGGTGTCACATTTCTCTTCTTTTTTTTGGTCACATTTCTCTTCAATTTGTAGAGAATATGTAATTCCGTGAGATTTTGGCATGCCGAAGCTTACAGAGGAGAGAGAGAAGTGGATAGTTCTTGGATAACAGATAAAAAATTATAAGTTCAAACGTTTTGAGTTTAAAATTCGATAACTCATTTGAATCATATTATGAGAGATTTATACTTCATGAATACCCTAATCTAGACATTGATGACATGTCTTTGATTGGATCAAAGAAAAATTTTATCAAAATGTACATAAATTGGTTCATGCACCCCTAACCAACTATATAATAAAATAACTCATACTTCGTGAATTTTATCTCAGTTATAATTTTTTCCCCCTCAAAATCATCACCAATCATTTACCTCACCCATCATCCANCCTCATGAATACTCTAATCTAGACATTGATGACATGTCTTTCATTGGATCAAAGAAAATTTTTATCAAAATGTACATAAATTGGTTCATGCACCCCTAACCAACTATATAATAAAATAACTCATACTTCGTGAATTTTATCTCAGTTATAATTTTTTCCCCCTCAAAATCATCACCAATCATTTACCTCACCCATCATCCATCTGTCAGACTCANATTTTTCCCCTCAAAATCATCACCAATCATTTACCTCACCCATCATCCATCTGTCAGACTCAAATGTTATGTTGTATCACTCATTTTTATCACATGTTTAATTATTTATATATTTCCTCTCTAAAAATATCACATCACTCATTTTTATCATATGTTTAATTATTTAATATTTAATTAATTTATAATTAATATAATTTTTATTTCAAACATTATTCATATATAATAGTATACACATGTTAAAAAAATTTAATATAGTGGAATTAATTTTTTGAGCTCTCAAATTTTATATTTGAAGGCACAAGTTATTACCTGTTGAATTATAAAACACAAAAAAAGATATGAAACAATGGTTGAGTAGATGGTCAGATTTGTAGATATTAGTTGAATTGGATTTCAACTTTTTGGAAAGGGTGTTTATCCTACCCTATGGATAACAAAAATATAATTCTATCTACCGGAGAAATTTTTTTTGGCATACTCTACCCGATTAAATGTACTATTTCTTTTTGAATTTCGTCCAAAATAATCGAGTAAGAAATCATGTGAACACAATATTTTTTAATTATTTTAACAATTTAATTAAATATCTTGCACTAATTAACCAACACAATAATGTTAAAATGTTAAAAATTTAACATATTAAAAGTGTTTCTAGTTTGTGATTTCTACACACACTAACAATGTTAAAGTGTTAAAAATAACACGCATACGCGTGCACATATAAATGTGTGTGGGTGTACGCGCACACGAATAAGATCAAATAAGAAGACAATTTTTATAAATATTCACAATTTTTGCAAAATACCCAAATTTCTTCCGTTGGCCTACCNTAACACGCATACGCGTGCACATATAAATGTGTGTGGGTGTACGCGCACACGAATAAGATCAAATAAGAAGACAAATTTTATAAATATTCACAATTTTTGCAAAATACCCAAATTTCTTCCGTTGGCCTACCTAATTTTTTAGGATAGCCGATCAAAAATTTGAACACCCCTACTTTTTGGTAGACATTAACTGAGCCCATCTGATTGAGTTTCACATGATCCATCGAGTCAACTCAACTCAAGTCATGATGGTTCCATTTCTTAGTTTTTAACAAAAGTAAACTGCATATTATGCAAAACATGGAAAATGATGTCACAGAAGTCCAAACAAAAAGGGTGCTGTAATTGAAGAAACAATAAGGGTAGTACCTATTGCAACTGAGAAACCAGAGGGGGTCTCAGCAAAGTTACCCCAAAGAAATAAAAACCATTATCGAAAAGCTAAGTCCATAGAAACTCTAACGATCATTCACATCTACAAGAAACAAATACACTTTTTCATACGTTTCTCCACTTGCTGCAGACAGAGGGGTAGGAGGCTGCGGGGTGCAGGGGAAGAGGAGAGGCGACTGACAAAAGCACTTACAGCATAACAAATGCAGAACGACAATGTACTCTTATTGAACCATGTTACTTCTACAAGTCTCTTGACTGCTGTCCAGTAACAAGTTCTCCGATGGCAAGCCAAAAATTTCAGCCCCTGGTGTTGGCATAATCATGGGGCTCATCATCACCATCCCTGTAACTTCCTTCTACATTGTCCTGGCCAAAACCTTCATCTCCACTGTCCGCTCTGCCTTGGTTGCCACCTAATTGTTCTTCCTTCCCACCATATGATGCCCCTGTGTTGGGAAAGCCACTATTACTACCAGAACCACTGCCACCATAATAGTTCTCACCACCACCTGCAAGACTCTGATTTTCGCTGTTGCTGACACCACCATATTGTCCATACCCACCACTATTCCCACCATTAAAGGTGCTGCTTCCACTACCATAACTGCCACCACCACCACTTCCATAATTACCACCTCCACTGTAGCTGCCATTTCCATCAGTATAGTTACCACCTCCATAATTGGAATTTCCATAACCACCTCCATAACTACCACCACTACCACCATAACCGCCACCACCATAACCTCCAAACCCCCCTCCACGAGGCCTTTCTGTAGCGTAGTTCACTCTTATCCTTCTCCCATGAAGATCCTGAGACATTACCAAAACCGAAGAGTAAGATCACAAGAAAATGAATAAAATATGCTGTTCCCTCTTATAAACCCCATTATATACCGAGTGAATTAGAGTATAAAGGACCTAGTAACCTACAGTCTCTACAAATAGAAAAGGTCAAAAAGAAATTTGTTGTCATCTGTAACTCAAATCTTTGATGTGCCAACGATTACTGGATGTTGCAAAGCCACAGAAGTACCTGTCCATCCATGTTCTGCATGGCACTGGAAGCCTCTTCGCTTGATGTAAAACTAACAAAACCAAAGCCTCTGGACCTACCAGAGTCACGGTCCATGATAATCCTAGCTGCAGAGAGAAGAATGACTATATTGATTGCCATATCTTATCCATAATATAACAAGACTACTTGTGAAAGGAATTGCTTGGTTTAGCAACTGTGTTTGCAGTTGATATTAACAAGGAATGTCTGAAAAAGATTACGCAGCCGCAGTTTTAGATATATATGCACAATTTATCCAGAATTACTACTCGCCAAAGTTTCTGGTGGCTTGCTAATATTAAGAGATCTTTTCACAAATACAAACAGAAACACTAATATAAAAACCAAAGGAGAAGATGAGTGAAAATATTTAGATTTAAAATGTAGCTACCCAGTCCTTCACCAACACATCCACATCTTTGCTTTGCCGAAAATGCGAAGAGAATCCATTTGTCCAGATATGCATTACTCACGCACACTAACAAGGTCGGCAAATACCTTCAATCACTTCCCCATGTTGTGCAAACGCTTCTCTCAAACTCATCTCATCAGTACCATATGACAGACCTGCAGTAGAAAATATGAAATAACTACTACATGCTAGATGGAAACAGTAGTACCTTACATTAGAAAAGAGGAATTTATGCACCTCCAACAAAGAGCTTTGAAGATGACATGTGCCTTATTGCCCGGTAAAGTGATGTATTAAAGGCAGATAATTCCAAATTGTTGTGCTTGCTCAGTGTCTGTTTAAGCATACTGCCAATTCTATTAACAAATGCCATTTCTGAACCTAGAAACAAGAAAATACTTGGTGTTACACAATTCCCCATCATGTTGTTTAAACAGAATGATAAAAAGACCCCCATAGTGTCAAAAAAATTAAGCTTTGAAAAGAGGGAGAAAGAGGGAGGGGGGAAGACAAGAACACAACCCAGTTCAATGCCAAATTAAGTTAGCAACTGACCATGATATAGGCTAAAATCCCATAACTTTCAAAGCAGCAATAATATTGCTTCCAACAGGAAAACAATCTTTGGTTGACATATCTCAATAGCAACAAAGAAGCTAAGGTTGGTCTGATACCACCGTTTCCATTGCACTACACTTTTTTATTTTTACTTTGATGTTCAAGAGATTCGTCATGAATCAAAAATATACTCAACTCAACAAAGCCATCTCCCCACATTTTTGAGGATGGCTACCAAAATCCTGTTTTACCGTGTATCATGCTTTCTATTAAATCATAAGTTATCATCATATCATTCTTTAGTATTTCATTTATAGTTACTTTTAGCTTTCCTCTACCACTATGTTTGTCATCAATAGCTAACATCTTCACTCTTTCTCACCCATGCCGTAACAAACCATTTATAAAAATGTTCCCTCCACCTAAAGCATATTTTCCCTTAATTTATCTCTTATAGTACTACTACTACTTTTTCATGAACATAATCATTCTTAATTATATCTTTCTTAATTTTACTATATATTCATCTTAACAATTCTCATTTCCGCCAAACTTAATTTTTGAGTGCGTTGTTTCTTAGTTGTCTAACACTCGACACCATAAATTATAGCAAGTTTTGTAACCATTCTATACAACTTTCTGATTAGCTTTTCACACAATACACAGGATGCATCCCTCCACTTAGTCCATCCAACTTTAATTCCATAAGTAACATCACCACCAATCTCACAATCTCTAAAAATAATAATCCCTAAATTATTAAAGTGTTCACTCTTCGGTATCTCTTGATCTTTGAATTTCACTACTTTCCCGGTTTGGATTCCTTATTTTGCAAAAGTTACACACTATATATTCAATTTCAGTCCTACTTATCTTAAATTCTTTGGATTATAGAGCTTATTGCCAAATTTCTAGTTCATAAATAATTACTTCTTTATTTTCATCAACAAACACAATATCATCCACAAATAACATACATCATGGAAGCTCATCCTGAATATGTCTAGTTAAATTGAGAATCGAACCAAACTGGGAATCATGAGATTCAGTTACAAATTAAAAAATTGGTAATAACACAAGATAGCACATTTGGTGCAGTTTAGTTCATTCAACAATCTTGTTTAATAAAAGACTGGAAAATTTTCCTTGAGTAATACCCATATTTGGTAAATAGAAAGAGGAAGAAACTAACCAAAAAAGGAGGAAATAAAAGATCAAATATCTGGCACTAAAAGAATCTCCGACAATATTGAAGAAAAAAATGGGGAGAGGCAAACAGTAGTTCATACATTATCTTAAGGGGAAAAGCACACATATATAAAAAACAAAAAAAGAAGGCCAGTTTAATTGTCAACTCAATAGGTAATNACAATCTCCGACAATATTGAAGAAAAAAATGGGGAGAGGCAAACAGTAGTACATACATTATCTTAAGGGGAAAAGCAAACATATATAAAAAACAAAAAAAGAAGGCCAGTTTAATTGTCAACTCAATAGGTAATGATGTTGTATCATTTTTGAATCAATAATAGTCTGATTCCCTGGCGAATCACGGTTTGCTATGAATTTAAATGAATCACAAGATTCTTGATTCAAACTGTAAGGTTTTAACAACTATGACTACTACAGCACTTCCACCTCTGAGGTTGTGGTAGATTCCACTGAAACAGAAAACTGCTTTCACCCATAGTCATATATCACCAGTCTTGTTGCAAGCTTCATCAACAAGTGTCTCTCAAATATAATTCAACAAGTTTTAGACTTAAAAAATTCATGCATCTGCTAAAGCAAAAATTATCAATTTAAATAACGACAAGAATAATAAGAGATTACTAGAAAGTAAGCCTTAATCACACCCACATAACCATGTAATGGGCAACATTGAAACATTATCCAACCAGTCCTCTAATTGCAATACCAATCGTAGGCCAACCCTTAGGTTGGCAACAGATCAAAACTGGCACAAATAACCCTGAGATAGAAAAAACACATTATATTGAGCCCTACAACCAATTCAAAACCTTGGGTGCCGATTTAAAGTGTCCAGTAGACTCTTTAATCTGAACTTCTAGTTATACTAATATGCATTTGTAATATATAAGACCAATCACGTGTAGTAAAATGGGTGTCTCTATTTTTCATTATTATGTTCTAAGCATAATCTCCCAATACATTGGACAGGAAAAATACCATTCTCAGCATATTGTAACACATGCCCTTCTATAGAATAGAATAACCTGTCCAGACTCCAGACAAGAAATACCCATTCCCTTCAATTCGAATGAGCCTCTCGATACACTTACAGAACATGTACAACTCAGTAGAACACAGAAAACATAAGCGCAGAGGAACAAACACGTCCAAAGGTTGGGAAACTACAAACCCTACAGTAAACTTACCATTAGAGATTAATTTGATATCAGTAACACCTTACCAACAATTACTTAACAGCGAAAAAGACGTGATATCACATATAACCCCCACACAAACAACTTAATATATAAAGCGGTAAACCCGAAACCCTAATCAATCTGTATAGTCGACTCCAGATTCTACAAAAGAATAAATGCAGAAGCATAGAAACAACAGAGATCAAAGCAGGGTAAGGGTTAGGGTTTCTGAGTTTGTGAAGCGTACCTTCGACTTGTTACTCTTTCCGTCTCCAACCTCTTCTCCGCTTCTCTGGTTATTCTCAAAAAGGGTTTTAAGATATTACAAGCACAATCAAATGAGGGAAACAAATCCTGACCGTACGATTTCGTTGGGTTGTTTAGACCGTTGGATGGCATCGCTTTTTATTTTTTGACACATAAATTTGCGTGAACTACTTCCTCTAGCGCTGAGACTGACCACCGTAGGTGAAGCTAGTTGAAACTAAAAGTAACAATCAAGTCGGGTTCGTGTCGGATTATTATGAATTTGTATCGAACATTAATCAATCTTAATCAAATTTATTTAACTAATCGTGTTGTATCGAGTTGACTTATTTATTTTCGNTGACACATAAATTTGCGTGAACTACTTCCTCTAACGCTGAGACTGACCACCGTAGGTGAAGCTAGTTGAAACTAAGACAACCAAGTCGTGTCTTGTCGGATTCGTGTTGGGTTATTATGAATTTGTATCGAACATTAATCAACCTTAATCAAATTTATTTAACTAATCGTGTTGTATCGAGTTGACTTATTTATTTTCGTATCTATTCGTATTAACCCATATAAATTTTGAGTAAAAAATTTAACGCAAATATTTATTTTTACTTAATTGAATTCATTCTCATACTTTTTTATACAAATTTAAAATTAACTTAATAAACATAATAATAATAATAATAATAAATAAAAATATATTTTTTATACAATAATTATGTCAGTGCTAATAAACAGGTACAAATAATNTCCATTCTCATACTTTTTTATACAAATTTAAAATTAACTTAATAAACATAATAATAATAATAAATAAAATATATTTTTTATACAATAATTATGTCAGTGCTAATAAACAGGTACAAATAATTAACATTTTATTTCTATAATACTAGTTAAACATGTTAATTTCGTATTACTATACAAATGAGAAAATAGAAAAAGTGNATTAACATTTTATTTCTATAATACTAGTTAAACATGTTAATTTCGTATTACTATACAAATGAGAAAATAGAAAAAGTGTTCATTCTTAATAAACGGATTGATCGTGTTAATTTCGGATTTGGCGAGTTGAACCCAAACATGACCTATTTATATTACATGTTTACGTGTCATGTCATTTTTGAATTTGTGTTATAAAATTTATGTCGAATTCGAGTCAGGTCACTATGCTTAGTCAAAAATTACCATCCATAGTTGAAGGACATGTTCCCTTTTTTTTTTTGAGATCAACAAAGGCATGCTACTTGAGAAACAAAGATGACTAGACTTTAAAGAATGTGACAAGTATTGAACTGGACCTCTTGCTTGGTGCTAGTGAAAAGTATTTACATCTATGCTGCATACTGTACCAATCAAATTAGAGAACAAAAGGTTCGAATGACGTGTCCTTCTCCAAGCTTATTATTATTATTATTTAATTATTTATATCTATATTTATTTGTACTATACTATACTACTTATACAAGTGGCTTTGAGTGAAAAAAACTTTTAATTTTCATGTTTGGCCCAAATTTACTATTATTGTAACTTTTTTTTTAACATAATGATACTTATTCTACATAGTGAAGAAGGTAGGAACCATTTGATCATCTTCCAATTATGTTAGTTCTAAGTGTTGTTGAAACTAATTTTTATTTTTGTCCATGATTAAAGATTTCCTTGAATAATGACACATTGTATGTAATCAAAAGGAATGCATTAGTCATAAATTGGTATTCTTCTACCATCTTATACACGCAACCAATGCACCAAGTGAAAATTCATTAATTTGCAAAAGAATTTTAGAAGTTTTATTTAGACTTTTACGAGTTCTAAAGAGGCATTGCATTTTCATTGAACTTCTTTCGCACAACGTTAATGTACAAAGTGAAAACTCATTAGAATTTCAAAGAATTTCCATATTCTGATTTTTTTTTCACAAAAAAACAGATAAACAAAAAGAGTCACTTATGCATGTGTCACTCTAAAAAAAACTATTGATAGTTCACTGCATCTTNACAAAAAAACAGATAAACAAAAAGAGTCACTTATGCATGTGTCACTCTAAAAAAAACTATTGATAGTTCACTGCATCTTCTAATATTGGTAATGTTTGCTCTGTTGTTTGTTGTGTGTCAAATATTGTAAAATCACTTATTAAAATTTCTGATTTGAATCATGTAAAGTACAACAAAACAGTTACAGTAAAAAGTTACAATGAAACGAAAAAGTTACAACAGGGTAATGAAATAGTAACAGCAAATACTTATACGTAACTGTTTGTCAAACAAAAAATAAATACTAACTCGATTGCAGAACATGAACTGTTATTGAACTTTAGATAGATCGAGGTTAGTGTTTGGCACTATGTCTTTAAGACAGATTTCGCCCCCACACACAGTGCTTATAAAAATCGAGCGTCTGCCTCACAGAATACAATGATCTTTACACGAACAGGAGTAACACTCCAATCTGCTCATCTAGCGAACCAAAATCGTATTGTGTACTCTCTAAATGCACTGCCTTAATGCCGAAAATGATATGTACTAATGTATGGGTTATTGTCTAAAATGGATTGATTAATTTAATAAAATTAATAGAAATGAGCCTAAGTATTTATAGACACATTGGTGACTTTTCGAACAGTCACCTTACTAAAAGACACAAATCAAAATGACAAGACGCAACAGCCAGTAGACACCATGGGTAACTGCTCTCCATGAACAGTCACAATTTAATTCGGTCTGGAGGGAGGCAACAAACCTAACCCAATGCGATCAAACGAGTACCGAAATTAAATTTTGGGTTAAGAAATTCTCGTCCAATTAATTAAATAAATTTTCTCCAAAAAGATAGGATTTGGTCTAACCCACACCCGAGCCCGAGCCCGAGCTTGAGCTTGAGCCTAAGCTTGGTCGGGGCGAGGCAAGGCGAGTGGCGCGCGCGTGTGGTTGACCCACACCCGAGCCTGAGTCTAAAATGACAAGACACAACAGCCAATAGACACCATGAATAACTGTTCTCCATAAATAGTCACAATTTAATTCGGTCTAGAGGGAGGCAACAACCCGACCCAATATGATCCAACGAGTATCGAAATTAAATTTTGGGTTAAGAAATTCTCACACAATTAATTAAATAAATTTTCTCCAAAAAAATAGGGTTTGGTCTAACTCACCCGAGCTGGGGCGTGCGTGTGGTTGAACCGAAAGCATGTAGATACTCGCTCTGCTCATAAAACTGTGATACCCCTTGGGTCCCAATCCCATAGAGCAACTTGACCTATATATGCCCATATTAAATTTCTTCCTCAGCCAATGTGGGATTAGTGTCACATCCCACATTGCACTTCATTTATTTTCACATTTCAAAAGGGTCACTTTGGAGCCTATTTTCTCATTCATTTTTTACTCGATTTAAGCAAGTGAATATACTACATTATTCTCTTCACGGGATAAAATATGAACCCACGAAATTTTATTCAAAATAACAATCAGGTCCCAAATTAATTTAACCTCAAAATCGACCAAAANAAAAAAAAAAATTGGGCTATAATCTGGATTTGGTCTATATTGCTATTAAAGTACTAATTTATAAAATTAAAGGTATAAATTAAAATTTTTAATATTTAAGGGTATAAATTAAAATATCTTTCATGGTTCAAAGTGATATTAGCCCTTTATCTTTTTGCCCTGTGGCTGTGGTACGGCTTGGACTTTTCAGTCTTCGTTGAAAAGCATTTTGTAAAAAATGCGAATTACCAGATATAGAGCTTGTTAATAAGGAAAATTACAGAGTTACCATTTTATGCAGTTGCATTGCCTTGATTTTTATTGTGTTCCTGCCTATAGATGCCGTCAACAGGGTGGAATTTTCGGGTTTTGTGCCACGTGGAAATATTTGATTAGTCACGACACTGNTACCCATTCTCTCTCTCTCTCTCTTATATATATATATGTATGTATCTCTCCCTTCAATTTTTGTTTCTCTTCACAAAAGCCCACTCTCTTTATCTCTCTTACATACACATATATATATATACATACATACATATNTTGCAAAACAGCGAGGACGGTTTTTAAAGATAAAAGACAATACACAAGACTTTCTTCATTTCCATAAGAATCGAAGCCTTCTATTTTTCTTTTGAAATCAAATCTAAGGTAAAAAAAATATTCAATCCAAATTGATCAGAGTCATTAATTATAAAAATAATTTTTAGACATATCATATTTTTATTAAAAAAAATTATATAATACCAAAAAATNTCAACACATGTTTTTTGTCACTAGTTTAAACGACACAGTTAGCGTGAGAAATGACATCGATTTAATACGTGAATTTTGAGGACTAAATTGACGGAATTAAAACTTNTTATATAATACCAAAAAATTATTTTTTGATATCATAATTAAACTATTAATTTATCATATGATGGAAATTTACATAAATAATCACTCATCATCAAAGCACATCAAATGATAGGATTAAAGGTGTGGATGGTTGACTTTTGTCCAAATCTAAAAAAAAATTAGTCGAAATACACATAAACTGGTTCGAATACTTCTGATTGTTGAACAAAAAAAAGAAGAAGAAGGTGTGTTTGGTTCAGTGCTCATAAGTTAGAAGATTGAACTATCTCATTATATTTTAATGCATCAAAATAAGGATTCAATCCTCTAAAATTAGTGTTTACAAGGATAAAAAATAAAAAAACATTGTAATAAACATCAAATGACCGACAATGTTTGGAAGTAATAGAGAAGAGAGAGGAACCAAGTCTAAGNGTTATTTTCACCCAGGGCTGTGACTCGCGTGCCGTGTTTGTACATATCACATCATTGTTATTTGTGTCGTGTCTATGTCAAGACTCACGAAAAAAAAATTTATTTAGTATATTTTGAAGGTCAATCATTACTTTAGACCATTTATTATACATATTTAATAATCGTGTCAATTTTATAATAATCGTGTTGACTCGGGTTTGTGTCAATGGGTCAGAGGTGAATCACCTAATTGGAACTGCTAGAACTTAAAACAGATAAACATTTGAAAACTGGAACAGGCCATTTCCNTCAGAGGATATGGGAAGAAAATGTTCATTAATTGCTTATACCACTTTGGTCATGAACTTTGACTCTAGATAGAAGTCAATGGATTTTAGAGGAGTCTTCTCCAAATTGCCTATATTTTTGTGGGATTGGTGGCGGAGTGTGACATGTTCTAATGATTAGTAACCGATTCAAAAGTTTAACTTAGACTTGTTTGGAGTTGATTTTTTTTTGTTTTTTTGTAAAATAGAAATTTAAAAATATAGTGAAAAAAATTAATTATTAAAAAGTTTTTGAAACCATTTGCAGTGTTCTAAAAAAATTGATAAAGTTAAATAAATTTGTTCGGAGAGAATTTATGATTTTTTTAGTTTTTTGTGTCAAAATCAAAAAATTATCACATGTATGTATAGATTATACCTAATACTTATGAAAATATGAATTTCAAAACTTTTTATGTTATTAATAATATTTTAAAAATATAATAAATTAAAAGGTTAAGTAAAACCCACAAAAAAACCTCCTAAAAAGTTGATAAAACAGCTTCAAAAAAGATTTTCAAAACAACTTTTTTAGGTCAGAATTTGTTATGGAAGCTGACGAAAAAGGCAGAGACCAAAACATATGCCGGGAAGGTGGTGAGTTATTTTACGTTGGTTGGGCAAAACAACATAAAAAAGCTGGGTCCAAACATGCTGCTAGAATGTTCCAGCTACAATTTTTTTTTTTTGAATCATGATGATGCACAAATTGATTTGTATACCACTTGTCAAGTAAATAGTAATAAATACAGTAGTAAAGTGGGGAGAGATAGAAACACAGGGATTTATAGTGGTTCGGTCTCGTGACCTACGTCCACTTTAAATAGCTAGGATCGCCGGAGGGTTTTATTTGTTCAAGTATGTAGGGAGAATAGAGAATTACAAGATGAAAAAGATGGGAGAATTATGATCGACTGAGTGTGATCNTACTTCCTCAACTGAGTCATCCCCAAAGGAGACAATGGAGCCCTCATCCACAACATCCTCTTCGCTAGAACGAAAAGACATATGTTCAGGCTCAAAGGGTTGCCTGTTCTGAACAAGCATGTGTCTAAACTCCTCGNTCTGCCCCTCCCAAGTGTTGGTGGGACTTACAATTTATAGTCGCCCCACAACAGATTGGGTCGAATTATTAGCAACTAAGTGACTATTCTAGTGGAGTTGACGATCTCAACGAACGAGGCAGTTACGGTGCTCTCCATGAGATTCGATCAAAAGGTAAAGTGTGTGTTAACTTTTTCAAATACGGCGAGGATGAAACTTTTGGATGACTATGCTTACTCCCTTGGCGAGCTTGACCAAGCGTGAACCCCTTTAGATTGAATACTAGATCTTTATAAATTGAACTCTTAATTTAAACTGAACTTACAACATGAGTTGAGCCTTTGGACTTGACNTTGACCAAGCGTGAACCCCTTTAGATTGAATACTAGATCTTTATAAATTGAACTCTTGATTTAAACTGGACTTACGACATGGGTTGAGCCTTTGGACTTGACCCATCAAAACAAAATAGTAATATAAATTAACATCCAGTCATGTAGTACTATCCTCCTATAGGAGGGTGTATTTTATCCCCCTGGCAATGCATGAATAAATTGTGGAGTGAGGATGGTCAAGATACAAAGAAATTCTACTGCTGAGCCAACAGGGGTATATGACTGGAACTTTCTTGTGGGGTAGAATTCAATTAAATACATTTTTACAATTTCATTGCTGATATTGGAGAATAATAATCAAAGACTGCAAAGGAGGATTAAAGAACCTCAAAGCATGAGGGTGAGGTTGAACACCATAAGTGAAATGAAAACATCAATTAATAACCTTCAACTTCTTTCCTTTTCCCCTGACCTAAAGCTTGTTACAAACATATTAACCCTTCTCCATCCTACTTGTTTCCTCTCCGCCTCTCTCCCGTTTTCCGGGTGAATTTATGGGATTTTTTTTCCCTTTTTTCAACAATCAAATACAGAAGAACTTAGTATTCAAATCTCCATGTATCTTCAAGATTTTGGAAGGGGCTTCCCCTCTAAAAATGATCTCAATAGCTGAAGCGCTGCTCTTGGCTTGAAAAGTGGCACTTCATGACCTGCTCCCCTCACTGTTACAAATGTTAGCCCTTCATAAACCTCTGTCCAGCCTCCCACCTTCAATAAGCACATAAATTATGCCATTAAAGCATATTCTTTTTTATTTTATTTTTTTGGTTTTAAACTTTTTGAAAGAGAAATTGTAAAAATTGTACTGACCTGGTTCTTAACATACCAAGGGTACCATGGAATTTTGGTAGCTAACTTAAGGTTTGCAAGAGAATATCTGGTGGCTGTAACCGGAACCACCGAGTCGACATCGCCACTACAGTCAACAGTTAAAAAGGTGAAGAACAATTATTATCTGAAATGCATGCATTACCGGAACATTAAATTAATCCAATGATAGTGAATGAAAGTTGCCAACCTGAATACCCAAATTCTCAATCGAGAAGCGATCAACTCCCGGTATATGGGAAGAACTGATACATCCGTGTCATTCCAATTTCGATTTAGTGATTCACTGTGTTGTGATAAATGCATAGTAGAGAGATTAGTCCTGAAATTATCGCCTTTTGTGCAATACATATTTAAGCTAGTCAAGAGCATTAGAAAGGAGAAGATAAAGAGCTAATTCACCTGCAAGCGGTCCATTTATAGGGAATTTTGGTCGTGTTTGCATGGAGAGCTTTCTGAACATCTGGTCTATTGTAGTAAACCTCGGCATATTTTTCAGTACAAGGATCGTAGCCAGATAACTGTCGGAACATCTGATGCAAACAGGCATGAACAACCAATCAAAACTCTGATAACAAGGAAAAAGAAGCCAACCTTTCAGTTTACTATTCAGTCATCATAGTTAACCTGGTGAGGTTGATGAGGCAAACGCATAGTGTGACGGGTTGCACCACTGCCATCAGAATTGTTGCAAGGAGGAGCATATATGTTGTACTGGTCAATATTGCCAAATTCTTGATCCATGGCATAACTGTACATGGATTCACACTCATTTGACTCCTTCTGCCGAAAATCGCACATATTGAGGAGTTGCCGGTATGTTTGATCAGAAATCATGGCATGGCTCCACCAGTATGTTACTGTCCCCAGGTTGTCGTAATAGTTGTCTGTCACCGGATTCCCCACCTGCATTATGGCAATAATATGAGAATATATATGAAAATCACTAAAACAACCATTACATATGTCTGATCATACAAATCAAAGACATTGGATTGCAATTTTAAAATATGGATCACCATAGTTATGGAAAAATATATTACCAAAAAGCCTTTAAAATTAAATGGGTGCTTGGAATTGACATTGTAAGCCATTATTTGTCTAGCCAACTGAGGGACATAATGGCCTGCATAGCTCTCTCCAGCAAGATAGACATCTCGGCTTTTGTATCGTGGGAATCGATCCATCCATCGGATGAGGAATTGCAGCGAGTCCTTGGCTGAACCACAATTAATCACATATACCATATTAAGTACAGTATTCATACTAACACACAAAATTTGATAATGACAACATTGCCTTCATGAAAATTTTGTCCTCAAGATTTTTTTTTTAACAAACAAGTTATTAACCATCAAAATGCTCGACCATCGTTATGGCAATTATATGCCATTAATTTCAGTACCCTCCTGGCGGATTCCCAAGGGTGGTAATTCCATTTTCTTNTGCTCGACCATCGTTATGGCAATTATATGCCATTAATTTCAGTACCCTCCTGGCGGAATCCCAAGGGTGGTAATTCCACTTTCCCTGACGTAAGAAAGTTTCGCCGTAATTGATTTGTTAAAGGTTTGTTTGCGACAATACATCAAACAGTTGGTGTGCGACCATCATAATCCAGTGGTCACTTAAGAGTATATAGCCTACCTACCCATTTCGCCAGAATAAGTGATTACTAATTCTAGGAACTCACAGGCATTCATTGCTTTAGACAATAACACAAACAACGATGACAATGGCGAAAGATGGATGTTGTGGGTCATTACCAGTACGACCATCACCGGTGTCAAGGAGATCGGAAGACCTGTTGCTGTAAGAGAAGCCTACGCCGGCCGGAGTTTCCAGGAACAAGAGGTTTGCAACGGTGTTCCATGAGAACTTGTTGAGGTACAAGCCTGAGGCATTCTTGTTTATCCGAAATGGCCCTATTTCCTCGGACGCACCATACGCCAAAGAAGAGCAGCCTGGACCTGCGTGCGATCGATTAAAAAAAATTCTTAAAATTACTTTTTTTTCTTTTTTTGAAATGGGTGAGAGCAAGAAAGAGTGCTCAATGACCATTCCAATAGATCTTCACCGGTAAAATTATAAGATCCTTGACTGAACCCGGAATACTTCTTGGGATCAGAATTAACTAGACTAGTATAACGGCCAACCACCAACTCTCGATGGAGACTTAAAGACTCAAACTCTCAATTTTAAAATTACTTACTATTCAACAAATTATATTTTAATTTTTTTTAAAAAAAAACCAAATTATATTTGCAATTATATAGAATTGATTTTTTTTTAAATTGAGTATATTCAATACAAAATTGACCGAAAACTTCTTTTTTTTTTTTTAATAGAAACCACAGAATTTTATTCATTTTCATAAACTCTGGTGCATGCTCTTGCCATACAACTATATTATCTTAAAAATCGACTGAAAACTTATACATATAAGTTTAGTCACTAAGCCCAACAAATCATAACTGGGTTAACCCACCAACTTAATTTAATAAATGAGTAAACATGAAGTTAATTAGATGCAATTTATAAATAAGACAGATTTCATAGCATGATAAAATTCGATTTTAAAACCCCAATTATAGCACGTACAACTAACACTTATACTCATGCATGATAGATAGGGGTGTACATGGCCGGATTACTTATGAGTCCTGCTACTCGGTCCGAAACTCAATAGACTCGATAGTTGGCCTGTCTGACCCCAAACTCAATATTCTTTTAAAAAAAAAAAAAAAGGCTTCATTTGTCCCCAAACTCATTACCCTGCCCAAGAGTACGCCCATCAAGTCCGTCAGCCAAGCCCAACTTGCCCACATAGCCCACCTACACTTTTTTTTGAAAAAAAATTATACTTTTAAATCATTAAATTTGAAACTTTGAAATAAGTTTTTCAATATCAAAATTTGAAGTTTTAAAATTTTAGATACTATAAATAATGTATTATTTTATTTTTCACATATTAAGCATACAAGTTTTAAAAAGTAGAATAATTCAAATCATAAATAAGTGAGTAGGTGTCAATCTAGTAGGGATGTATTCATTCTATAAGATGTAGTTCATCCCTTAATTAAAAATAAAATTATTTATTTTTTTATTTTTATCCATTTTGACTCTATTTTTGATTCAAAAATATAATTTACACAATATTAAATTACAAAAATATTCATTATTTTTAAATAAAATTATATATAAAAAAGCCCACGAACAGACCCACAGGCTCGCGGGTAGCCTACCCCCGGTCGAAGCCCGGTCCGGCTTGCCTGATAACTCACTTGAATAAAAATTTAAGCCTACATTCTCTAACCCGAGCCGAAAAAAAGTATGTAGGCCTAATCTGACCTGGCCCATGGACACTCCTAATGATAGAAGATGATTGGACATTCATAATAGATAATGGAACATTTAATTAAATCCGTAAAAAATATATCACAGAGAATCACATTCAGAGTGAGAAGGATCTGGGCAGATGCTGTTTACTGTACAAGTAACATGCATGGCTTCCATAAACATTAATATTTTGTCACCATTATTGTAGCCTTTTTTTCTTCTTTTTCTTTTTAAGTTGTAGGTTGTCGAGGCTTGGGTTGATTATTTTCTCAAATTCAGTAGTTGATCAATGTGATTTGAATTGAATTAGAGTATGTCCTTAAATAAATAAGTGTGTGTAGCCCTTAAAGAACATATCAAGAGATTAAATTTGAGATCTCTGAATTACCAAGATTAGACAGAGAAGAGTCCAAATTTTTGCAACATTTGACTGTGATACCTTGAGTGCAACTATGCATAGTCCCACCACACATGCCGACAACATGTCTAGCAGAACCATATATACTAGCTGTGCACCAATAAATGAGGACTGTTCTTGTTGCTTCCAAGCATTGAATATCTCCATTACTCCACCCAGAGGGGAGAGAGAGAGAGAGAGAGAGAGAGAGAGAGAGAGAGAGTTGGGTCACGATTCAATGATATTCCAAAGCCCAATGATAATTTCTAGTACAAGAACTTATGGTAGAATGAATTTCTAGTACCCAAAGGCCTATCCAAATAAGAATTGACAAGCTCTTGACATATGAAGGATTAATGAATGTTAATAGATATTAAATAATTACTTATATTATACTCCACTCTAACAATCTACATTTTTAGATGAGATATTAGTTCAACATGTATCCGAGCCTAAAAATTTTGAATTCAAATCAAACCAAACCTCTTCCCTTATTATCTAGATCACGATCTTCCACCACTCAAGAAACCGTCTTTAATAACTTAAACTTTTAGATAATATGATAGTTCAACAATATAAATTTAGAGAATAAACTCTTTCCAATCAGCCTCTAAATCAATTGGTTACGGACAGCCAATTAAAATTTGACAACTGTACAAATTTATTGGAAATCTTCAATCAAAATTTGACAAGCTCTCCTCGAATTCGACAAGCGTAACGCATTTATGTGCAAATACTCAGAGTTAGCTCGTTTTCTAAATAAGTCGAATTTGAATAATTTTTTAGACTCGACTAAAGAAAACGAATTTTTTAATCTTAGCTCAAGCTCGATAGAGTTCGTTCGACTATCGGTCCTACCTGCTGCAACATTAAGCAAGTTGCAGCAAAGTAGAGAAGAATTAAAGGTAGAGATGTGTGTCCCTTTGAGAAAATTCTACAAACAAGCAATACAACAGTATTAACTAATTCAATCTCAACAGAACTTCCATTATTCACAGTTTTATAAGGTTCCAAGATCAATATAAAGACCCTTCTGCATAGAAATAATGTAAATAAAGGAGATTATTTTTGTTTTGGGAGGGGGGGGGGGTGTTCTTAGTTCTTACCTCCATTGAGCCAAACGACCAAAGGTTTTGACAAGGGATTTTGAGCAGCCTCAGTGAGCCAGTAGAAAAGGGCTCTACCGGCGACTTCGTTGACGGTGACATAGCCGGAGAACTGGTGGAAGGAGACCTTAGGCTGTCCAGGAAGAGATGAGATTCTGTCAGCTTCTTCTTCTTTGTTCACTTCATGTGCTGCAGCATCAACATGTACTATAAGCAAGACAACGACCATGGAAACAAATAACTTCCCTCTACCCATGACCATGGTCTTCAAGAAGAAGAAGAACCACAGAAAAATCTGTTTTTCTAGTTTTTTGGGTTGTGGGAAGTAAGTAATGTGTGTGTGTGTGTCATGAACAGAATGGAATAAATAGGAGAGAGAGAGAGAGAGATTATGATTTATGAATGTAATTACTCCAACATTACTTGAAGAAAGATGAGGTGGGCGCTCCCATGCTTTGATATATGAGGCAACCCTCGTGAACAAGACAAATCTACCACTTTGATTACCAAAGAAAGAAGATAGAATTACTCTATACTCTACAAGACGTTGGCTCCAATGAAAATGCTCACGACACTCTTTACCGTTGAACAAAAAAATATAAAAATAAAAAAGTGTTATGGTATATTATATTATGTCTCTAATTACTTCACATGGTTTACAGATGATTACATGTATTTAGAGATTATGTTTAACTGCTAATCTCCAAAAATTAATGATCGAGACTTAAAAAAGTTAGAAATGCAATCGACATGCATCCTTATTTGCAATTTTGTGTGGATATATATGTTTTGTTGAACGAAGATAGTTTTATCTTATTTAGTTATCTTTAATTGTCTTCAATCGGAGGTCAATGAATCAATCTTTCTGAGGGTCTATGCATACTCTATTCAGGCTTTTTATTTATCTCCCCGACTTCTCCGACATATTTTAAGTGAGTGAGTTACCTTTAATTTATCTCTCCAACATATTTTTATTTAAGTTTAAGCGGTAATAAGGATGAATTGTAAACTCAGAAGTTCTAAGTTCGAATTTTGATAATTTCTTGAGCCAGATATTGAGGAATTTATCTCTCATAAATTCACTCGTCCTAACGTGAATGACCCGTTTTTGACCGGATTGAAAGAGAATTAGTCAAGGTGTGAATAAGATGATCGTTGACCAAAAAACAACAAAAAAAAATGTTGTTTCTTTCTCTACTTATATTATATGTGAATTGAAATATCTTCCACATTTGGGCATTTATTCCCATACACAGTGTAAATCAATTGAATTGTGACATTATTAAGTGAATTGTAATACTAGTCTATGGTAATACTAACTGGAACTCAATTCAAAGACGAACAAAATCATTTGTTTCTTGATCTGATTTCATTTAAAAGGAATGGGATCACTTGTTTTTTGGCATGATTCATGAATCCTCCATTCATTCCTCTTGTAATTATGCATGAGGCTTTGACTGCCCTTTCTTCCTTGGCTTTATCTACATCTATTCCTCCCCCAACCCCAATTTTTGTATGTTTCTGAAGTATTCTTTTTAGATTGGCCCGGGGATAATGCCAGTCGTCTCAATCAAGTTTATAAACTATGTTTTGTCTTAATTTAGTTTTTGAACTATAACATTTGTGTCAATATAGTCATTCCGACCAAATTCGTCGTTACGTTTGATGGAATTCTTCATGTGCACAACGCGTGACCCTTAAACTATACCTTAATCTCAGACTCACGTGAGAAATTCTGTCAAAGTTATTTGCGAATTGGAACGGAAGAGTCATACTGACACAAATAATATAGTTCAGGGTACGGGTGTCAACTCTGATCCGTTGACACGAATCTGATACAAACGATTATTAAATACACATAATAAATAGTCTAAACTACTGTTCAATACTCAGAACAAACTTAATAGATTTTTTTGTCATGGTTTTTAACGCGTACACAACACGAATAATAATAACATAACACGAATAACAATGACACGACATGAATAATACGGAATACGAGTCACACGAATACGACACGATTGACACCCTTAATTCAGGGGTTAAATTAATACAAAACATAGTTAAGTGGCTTAGTCGACACAAATGGTACAATTTAAGAACCAAATAGATAAGTACTTCTTTTTTTATGTATTTTGTTGGGATGAGATTGAATTTGGGCATCTTCCTACTTTCAATTTCCTTGTTTTTTTATATGAAGAAAAAGTATTTTTTTTTTTTGCTCAATTACCTATTATTGTATGTTAAGAAAAAGAGAGAATTTGTATCTGCCCACAGATTTAAAATTTCACTTTAATCCACTTATTATTCTTCTCTCTTTTTCTTACCCCGAGCAAAAAAAATAAAATATTTATTTAATACTTCAAAACTTTTTTAGAAACTATATTATTAGATATATATTGCCTGAGTATCTTGTGAAGTAGAATTTGTAGTGTTAAGAATATCATGGTGTTTAAGTATTGAAAAAACATTATACGAATTTAAACCTAAAAATTGAATAGAATTTCGGTTTTTATAACTAGTATATGTAATACGTTGTACTCATGTTCCAACTAACCACTAGAAAGTGCTTCTCCTTTCGCAATCTCTCTCCTCTGTTTGTTGGATAGGTATTGGCGACAATACCACAAAAGTAAAAAAATAATTATCATTAAAACACCCATAAAAATAACAAAACGTACCCACAAAAGTTATAAATTTTTTTATTATAAAAAAATAATTTTAAAAATTATAAAAACACTCATTAAAATAATAAAATTTAAAAATACGATACCAAATTTATTTTTCCATATCGTAGTTAATGCTCTATTTGGTAGAAATGATGAAAAGTAGAAGAGATATACTTTCTATCCTTCAAGCAAAAAAAGTAAGAATGATATATTTTTCTTCTTTTGTGTTTGGTAAGATGGAAAAAATATTTATTTTTTATTTTTAAAATTTTTATTTATAATTTTTTTTAACAAAATATAAATACATATTTTATCATTATATTTATATATAAAATTAATATATACATAATCTATGTATATATCAAAGAATATATAGACAAATAAAATACATTTCAACACAAATAATTAATTTTTTATTTACTCTCTTTCTGATTTTGATGAGTTAGAAGAAAAACTCATACATCAATTTTTTTACCTTTCATATTTATTTTTTTATCAAATATGATATTTTATCTATTATTTCTAATTTTTTTATTTTTTATTTTTATAATTTTATATCATATCAAAGGGAGAATAAATCCGTTTGTTCATATTTACTTGCACGCGAGCATGGTGTCTGTCATTGATTTCCAAAAGTAACAGGGCATGTGGCTATGGCCACGGTGATGACAGTCATGATGATGATGGTTGTTTTGGACTTGCATTGCCCACCTTCGCAAAAGGGTTGGGGAATGTGACATGTTTAAAACCAAGTTTAATTTTTCTCTTTCCTAAATTTAGATTTGTTTGTTGACGAGAAATCATGACCTCCTGTGCCTCTCTCTCTCTCTCTCTCTCTCTCACTTCAATTCTCTCCGCTCATAATTTTCCCCACTTTTATTTGTTCTTTTTTTGGTACCGTATCCTTTCATAATTGACACCATTATCCACAAGTCTATCCATTTTAGACTGCTAATTTGTCTAGGAGTCTACCAGGAAGATTATACTTTTACGTATAAAAGATTTGTTCTCTCGTAATTAGGTCTATCAATTATGCCAGATGAAATAAGTTCGTGTCAAAAATATTTTATATATATTTGATTTGTTTATTACTCTCTCCGTTCTTAAATATCTGTCGTTTAATGAAATCAAAACATAATTAATATTTTTTCTTTCAAATTTACCCTTAACTTTTCAATGTATTAAATTTGGTGGAGGTTAAGTGTCTTTCATATTATTTTCTTTCCCAATACGTATTGAATAAATGTATTTTAGTCATATACAATTATTTTTTACTTATACTAGAGCTATTTAATAGCTTTCTTAATCCCTGTACAAATATTTTAAACGACAGATAATGAAAAACGGAGAGAGTAATTCGCGTCTAACGAATCGTATTATATAGAGTTTATATCGTGTATGAATTATGTATAACTGATAAATAAACGAATTGTATCGTGTATTTTTTTTTATTGACTTTATTCATACCCAATTCATTTATTAATCATGACGTATCAGGTTCACTCATTTACTAAATTGGTGGTTTAAGAAAGATTCAAATCCTCTAATTTTATATCGCGTTAATGAGTCTTGTCCCTCTCGTAATGCTCTTTCTTATAGCCTATTATGTTTTTTATGGCCGAGAACCAAACCAAGGGTGTTTTGGACTTGTGATTATTCTGCAAATTAGAATACGCACAATCACGCATAAAAAAAAAAACGATGCGTTGGATCAACTGCTACATTATTTACAAGATGGGTCATTGAGATATAAAACATTAAAATCCTACCATCTGATTTAAACCCCGACATTTGTGTGCTCTACCTATGTGTATAGATGATGCTATGAAAAAAAAAAAAAATAGATGATGCTATGAGAATTACAAGTTTCACACTGTTGAAAAAAAAAAGAAAAGAAAAGGATTTATTAAATTTTGTAATTTTTATTTTTATTTTTTGCAAAAATAATGAGGGAAATAAAAGAAAATAAAGAATAAGAATTATTAATCCTTTAAATGAGCAACAGAGTAGCTGTAGAAAACAAGTAGCAGTTATTGTCTTTATGACATTGATATAGACTATAGAGTAGTAGATAGCAACCAGTGAGTGGTTGGAAGTGATGGAACTGAAGAGGGGCCTCCACAGTACTTATCTACAACCAGCACTGATGGAAGAGAGATTGAGAAGTTAAAAAAAAGGAGAGAGAGAGAGAGTCACAGTCGTATGGCTATGGTCAAATGCTCTGTTTCTCTCCGCTAGAACCTGCACAAACATTGAAGTACTCATAAATTTCAGTAAAAATTTATTGGGACAAATTGCCTAGGGGCACATCCCCATCATTCATAAATGACCATCCAGTCCTTATATATTATGGACATTCGGATCCATCTCCTCTACTGTTGATTTTATAACAACCGAGGATCTTCACCTGCGACACCCGTGTCCGTCTTCGTCTTCTTTGTTATTGATTTTTTTACACCAGAGGATCTTTACCTTTACCTACAGACACCCCCTCCAAAGAAAAAACAAAATAAATTCTCATCAGTGTTATCCTAACTTCAAATAACTCAAAGATCCAAAAAAGAGGAGCCGAACCATGAGAAAGTTTCCAATAGAGTAATATAAAAAGTATGAGCTCTCAATTCCTATAGTTGTCATTCAATTCTTATCAATGCAATGTTTGATAATATTCAAATATACATAATTTTACCCTTTTATGAGAAGAACTTATTTTTGTGATTTTT